GACTGGGAAAGGTGGCTCATCTGATGTGACTGCATCGCCTCTGACCGGAAGGCCCTAGGTTTCGACACTAGCCAGAGAGCTAGGTCGAGTTTTGTTTTGTTTCTTGCCACACTTTACTTGCACACACTTACACTTAGTGCACTACGCTACCACACATGCCGAGAGACTGGTCAAGAGCTTACAGCTTGTTCCGGTTGGGGCGGTGTACTGCTGGTGGGAGATACCTTGTTCAGGAAAACCTCGCTAGCCTGCGATAGGTCGTTCCCGGATTTTACCATTCTGCGGTGACCACCACCACCACCACAACCACCTCCCGAGCAAAAGAAAAAAAAACAACAAACAAACATGAACTACACTTACGGGACTTATAACCTTAGCCGTTGACGAGCGCGGAATCACAAGTAATGAATCGAGAAATCTCATTTGGTAGGTGTTCTAGGCACAGGCAGATAGCTACTGAAAAGTGAGTAGGTCAAAACCGAAAATATACTAGACTAGAAAACTAACTCATACAAGAAAGTCTATAATCGCACAGAAAGTCACCTAATTGAAAAAAAAACTGATTCCAAGACATGTCCCAGGAGTAGACCACAAGTGATAACCACCATCTTCCTAAGTGACCGAACCGTGCAAGAGAAATATCAATACTTGGAATTAACTCTGCCCTCCTTAATTTATTCAGAACAAGAAAAGAATGTGACAAAATTCTAGGATTGTTACAATCAACCAAGCTTAACTCATTAAAATACGTTTCGCAGGGGTTTTTTCACTATCAGTATAATAACAAATTTAATCCTTATACTCATCCAAAAATGTTTGTAATTCTTTATATTTAAGAAAAAGTGATTTCATATTCCTGTTTAATCCTTGAATAACAAATTGGAAGTATGATTGACGATGGTGATTTATATAACCAATGTAAATTTCAGTGGTCGTTCACGCCCAGAGCAGCAGAAAGCGAATTTAAAGGTAGAGAATAAAGAATTTAAAGATAAAAAGGTTTAATGCACCACTAGTTGCTTATGTAATGATAAACCTTGTATTACCACCGCTCAAATATTGAGTGCATCCCTATTCATCATACACGTTCTGCAAAAAATAATTATCATAATGAGGCAATGGCATGAAATTTGGTACATTACAATTAAGAGTTGGTTACAAAATCAAACCGCAACATCTACACAGCAAAATGTACATGTGTGTTCTACAATGAACGGCGTGTCACAGAGCCCGGAGCAGAACTAATGGGCATGGAGTCGTGGAGACGTCAACTATTTTCCTCAAGAACATCGTGCCACAGATGATCGCTAGAATTAACGCTTCAAATCACAAGTAACTGATGTAATAGTTCCTATCTGGTCTATATCAGAAGACATTGCCAGCCAAGGCACCAAGATTACCTCAAGAAAGCACTTTAGCGTCACTCGTGCAGTAAGAGGATGAGCGCTATTATGATTGAAGAAGGGGTGTTGGAGCCGCCCGAGAAAGGAAAAGAGATGTCTTCTTCCGGGTATACCTCTCGACCTCAATTTTCCCTCGATCACCACCAATATAAAACGGGGTAACGGGAGTAACATGCAATGACAAATCCACATGATTGCAACAGCTAATCTGGCACTCCAGTATGGCGCTGAAGAGTAAACCTGAATTTGCCGGGAACATCACACTCCGATTCTGTGATCACCCGAGTCCCCGAAAAAATGGAATTGTCACTCCACAGAACCTGGCGTCATTCCGCGAACTTCCATACCTCAGGTCAGGAGAGGTGACTCAGGGCATCAATTGATATCACTGCAGTGCCCCGAAGTAAACCGAGAGACACCCGAATCAGCGTCACCCCACACGCCATGTATTCTGCAACCGCAACGCTGGAATGCGCTCACGGGGAGCGTATTAACACACGACTGCAGAGAGTTTCTGAGATTCTTTTAAGATAATCAGACCCGACAATTGTCACGTGGCGCTGGGAACACCAATCACGGTATCTGCAGCAAACATAAGCGTTAAGGCGGTTCCACATATTCGGCAGTCGCCGGATGACTAACAAGCTATGCTAGTCCAAACTCAAACAGCAGATGTGCTCGGAGAATATTCGCTTCCTTTGAGAAGTACAAGAGACTGTCACGCGGTGGGTAGGTTGAGCAGCGAAAGTTCTTCACTCGGCAAGTAGTAACCAACCGTCCAACTACTCCGGATTCGGTGAGCGTTCACGCACTTATTCGCCGAATACAGATGTGTGGATACCTTTAGCCGGACTCAGTTCGGTAAGTGAGGCTTCATATCATGTACCGAATCGATTGCCAGTTATATATGTTTTGGATTATTGTAGTGTTGTTAGAGAAGTCTAATTCATCGTGGCGGACAAAGGCGTTTTTTGTAAAAGATATTTTTTTTAATATAAATTGCATTAATATCGAGCATAAATTACGCGAAAACTATTAGTTTGTTTAAAAAATGTACATGACCATTTTTAAGAGTTGATTTGAAACAGGCTTTGTCTAAGGCAAAAATCTCTATCTTCAGTTTTCTAGTTTTAAAATGTTAACTTTTTGCAATTTTCGAAAATTCAGAGAGTTTACCAAAAATGGGACTAGCGCCATATTTTTTACCTTCCTTTGATACATACAAGGAGAAAATTTAAAGAAAAAAATTGGTGTCGTTTTGAATAAACAATTGTTTAAAAAAATTAAAATCTGCCTATATTTCGTTTAAACAGCTTATTTTTTTCAAGACCTGTCTTTAAGAAACAGATTTCATTAAGAAGAAATATCAACCTTAATATTACAGTTATGGGAAGACACTAAAAAAATTGCACTTTTGTAGTATTCGCTGATATCCAAAATTTTTCGAACATGAAACCCGAACCGTTTTTTTAAGCGTCCTTAAAACGCTAGCGTTGACCACTGACGGACGTACAGACCCAACGTTTTGCTGTCAATTGATTTTTTTGTCTCAAGGACCCACAAAACATGGATTCTGGCTACACCACGTGTTGGAGAAGGTAATTTACAACACATAATAACATCATTTACCCACTTTTCCGTTACCAGGGCTCGCCTATAAGAGATTCTCAGCGAAATATTCGCAGTTTTCCGAAGCACAGTTTATATAACTTTCTCTTCTTACGAAGTAAGAGTGAAAAATAAAAAGTCACGAGCCGCCACTGAATGAGTACCCCTTTCTTACGTAATCAGTTTTTTTTTTATTTTGTTGGCATTACCGAGGGATTACTTTCCGCAATCCGCTAGCGAGGTCCGGTCGCCCCGGCCTGGCTCAGTTTTCGCGACTTGCGGAAAGCAGAGCTTGTTCCAATAACTGTCAAGCCCTGCAGCCGGTGGTACAGAGGGTAGAAAACGAAGAACTAACGGGAATTAGCAGCATACCAAAACGTTTCCTTCTCTCACTGCTATTACTCGACACAAGTTTAAAAAAGTACATGACATAGTTTAACGTCCTACAATTGAATGAATTTATGCAGAAAACACCCAAGCCCCAAAAATCAATATGGCTGAAAATGTCTTAAAATATCGAGTACGGATAAACTATGTAAATGTATTATGCGTAGGATGTGACTATAAAAATTAAATAATTTTGTACAATACTTTCGCAACAAATCAGCATTCTTGTTTTATTTTACTAACTGGTGGTATATTCCCTTGAACCTGGCAGTGTCTTTACAGTTCAGCTCCTGTAGCGTTTTTCCATTTACAACGTAGTGCGCGTCATGGTCAGGAATATTTAATAATTCCTCAGCAGATCTCGAGTTCCGAAACGTGTGATTGCCAGTGTGCGCACGGCGCCGACTTCATGCCGAATTACGCCAATGTCGATCCAATCGCATCACAATTTGTAGCTATCGGTTTTTAATTTTATTGTTGCTTATGAAGACGATCTTTCCAAAAAAATATTTGTATGCCATATACTTTTACCATAAGTAATACTATGCAGAAAAAAACTTAGTTTCAACCTTCAGCTGCTTCAACTTTGATACAATTTTGGGGATGCAGGAAATTATGTTGTAGGTTACAGGTCCGAAGCAAAAAGGTGCTCATCAATTGAATGACATTTTAATATTTGAAACCAATAATTAAAGAAATGCAATTAAAAGAAATTTGTAAGATATCTTTCTGGAAAGAAAGTCGCAACAAGAAGAGCCAGATCTTTGCACATTTGTTAGGAAATGAAATGATATTGCTGCTGTTGAAGTATTTCAGGTTTTTTTAAATGTTCAACAAAATTGCAATCAAATTGCTCATCATGTATTTCCTCTTTCCCTAAATTGCTTCCCTTGTAAAGAGATCTTTGTGATTATCCTGTTTATGGTTACTTGGTTATACCCTTGGGTCAGTTGGTGTTTATCGAATTACTAAAAACTGTCACAATTTTTCCTGGTCTTACATTGAAACGAATTTCCTCGGCCTCTTAAAGAGGTTTTCTCTGAAAACAAATTTCAATAGTTCAGAGAATGAATCACTCCATGTGCTTTGAGAACTCCCTTAAGTCTGAAAATTAAGTTGTTTCTTCAACTTAGTATTTCATCTCTGTCCAAAAGACAAATTCCCATTACCCAAAAACCTGTTTCAGAGTTCTTCTTGAGTTTCTCTGTCCCAATTTCTTCAAAGACAGACTAGAAAAGAATAAAAAATTTCCATTTTTGTCCATTTTTCTAAATGTTTCCACCAAGAAAGATGGAAAAAACAGTGCGCAGGTGTTGTGAGAGATGTACAGAATTAGATGGAAGAAAAATAAAATATTGTTCCAACATGACAATGTCATCTAAGGTCACAGGTGACATGACACATCAGAGCACATTATTTTCTATGCAATTTTTTCAGTCATGGCAAGAAAATTTTCAAAACCCACCTTCAAAGTTCAAATTTAACCAACCATTTTTGTTCCTGTTATAGCAAGATATAAGTATGTTCCTTTGTGTCCATCAAGGGTCTAAATCCTTATATTTGAACAGGATACAAGGAGACTAAAGGCTCCCTGAAGCAGTTCCTGTTGTCTCAGAAACTTCACTTTCTGTTCAATCAATAAGCTTTTCAGGATGTTTTTTCCCCCTTAGATTTCTCCAAATTGTCAAAATATTCATTTCCTCCTCCTAATCCATTAGAGACTCTAATGGATCCAAATGAGAAGGTCTTTAAGTCTAACCCATTCATCTAAGATCTAGATAATCCTCTTTCTAATGGGAGGCAGTAAGTGCAGTGCCCAGCCAACTATGAAATTTCTTATAGAAAACTTTTCATTATGCTGAATTTAAATGTAATTTTTGTTTGTTTATATACATTATTTATAACATATTCATTAGAAACTGAATAATAACCGAATAAACTGAAAATACAAAGTGAAATGTCCATAAACAAGCATTGATCAAACAAATTCCATTTTACAAAATTGTTTTTGTGTCTCCACCACTTTACCTACCCGTACATATAAAATAATCTCTCTTTAATGAAATTGCCATTTTCAGAATAATTCATTAAAATTTTACTTTTTTCTCCCTAAGTTGTGATTTTTATTTCTTTTAAAATATAATAGAAATTTTACTATATAATACAATAGTATTTTACTATAGCACAATGGCATAAAATATAATAATTCAAACAATTTGAAGATGTGCATATCTTCCAATGAAAGACTTCATGCTATTTAGTTAAGTAAGAGCATGAAGTTAACAAATTACCATTGGAAGTTACATTGAAGTATCTAGATGGTACTGTTCCATTTACAATCTTGTCTATCAAAAATTTGAACATTCTAGAACACAGATTTGATTTGATGAATAATCTTTTAAAACCTCCTGCAATTACATATTTCTCTCATCTAACACATACTTTTAGCTTTTTCATTACTGAATTCTTATTTAAGTACTGAAGATCTTTTGACGGACACACAGTATGTTATGTTATATGTACAGTATAAGTAAAGAATTAACTTTCTTCAATATAATGAAATTTCATGACAAAATAATTACCGAGGTTCCCCCAACAATTTTGTTGTGCTGTTATTTTACTGTATATGAAAATGTCAATTGCTTCTGGAGAATGTTGAAGCCTCAAGACCCTCCCCACTCTGCTATACCACTGAATAAAAACAATATTTATCCAACTTTTATAGCTTTGTCAGCTTGCAATTTACATAAGGCAGTTGGAGCATATGACTAAACAGAAGAAAAAAAAGTTGAGTATTTAAAACTCAAGCATGTCCTATTTTTCCTCTATCCCCTTAATTTTCCCTTCAAGAGTTGTTCTGGGAACTGATTACAATTGGAAGCCTTGTGAATTAACTTTAAAAAATTTCTTCTGAAGATTTCTAAAGGTAGCCAACATTGGTTTTTTGATATGGTAGATTTCCATGATTTTTTTTTTGTATTTGCACTTATTAACCAAGGGCAACTTTATATTCACTCAATTATAATGAAACGTGATTCAGAGAATACTGTACAAAATTTCTACTGAAAATTTGATTCAACTATTGCCAGTTACATCATAAACCAAGAATGTAAACAGATGTATTAAAGAATGTCTCTCCTGAATAACTATTTTCCAACAATACTGTAGCCATCATTTAAAGGAATTAAATTTCCATCTCTTCTTCCCAACAGCCATTGGTTGGATGAAGGATACAGAAAAAGTGCTTGATTGGTACCTATTTGTACTGTTGCAAATAATGCCACTACTAAATACATTACAGTTGGAAATGTGCGACTGAGAAACAAGATAGGCGTTTCCCCAATAGACATTGCTTTTGAAAATAAAATATAAATTTTCATTTTAACTTGTCAATAATTCCTATTACTTTGAAATGCATCTTTAATACGTAACATTTTCAAACAAATACAATACAAATCTCACAATCTCAAAAAATACCAAGTTTGTAATTGCAATAGGGTGGCAAAGTGGACTATGTAAATACTTCCTTTAAATAATCATTTAGCACATTCTTAGGTTAGATATCAAATGTGTTGTAGAAGGGGTGGTGTGGGAGGTGAGGAGAGAGTTGACTATGTTGGAAAATGATTTATTTTTCCCCCTCCACGACAGAAATCACTGTTCTTCCATTTCCTTGCATGGCCATATTGCCCTCTATGCATCTAAATAGAACTGAATTACTATGTAATATAAAATCCTATAACAATACTTGTGTTTACTAATGTAATCAACTAACACATTAAATTATTTTGATAGCTTGCAGAAATATTCATGTAACAACAAAGTTGATTAATTCATTTTATTACTTATGGAAATACAAAAATGCTTATGGCAATATAAAAATTAATCAATAGATAGTTTTACATTTTTATAAAAAAAATTCTGAAAATATACTGAATAGACTTTATGAAAAGTTTAATAGAAAATTTGAGCAGCACTAACATAACTTCAAAATTTTCAGAAATATTTTTCAGTTATGCTTTCATAAAGAGTACAAAAGATGTAATGTCATATCCTAAAAAGTAACATTAGATCTCTTGTATCAGTCTAATACAGAAGGTAATATTTTTTCACACTTCAGTGATGGAACAAGCGAAGATTTGTGTGGACAAGGGTAATGTTGTTTTCATCACAAGCTTTAGTAACATCTACATCATTTGTTGATCCAGATGGACTTGCAATATATTCTACCCCACTCTGAAAACAAAAGTGACTTTTAAAAATCTGAAGAACAGTATTACTTAATAATTCAAAGAATGAAGTGTGTTAAAGAGTTTATAAGGTTGTTGTGAGAGAAGACGGGACATGATGAAGGTTAAACGTAAATAAATACAAAATTAAATAAAGTTAAAAATAAAATTAAAAAAAAGAAGTACCAACCAAAGAAGATAAAGATAAACAACTCACCTGCTTTGCACGTTCAATATTATCTCTGAATGGGAAGAAGGCATCTGATGCCAGAGCAACTCCTGACAATTTCTGCACCCATTCTTGTCTGTCTTCCTGAGTCAAGAAAGCTGGAGCGCTCTCGTACGCGGCAGCCCATGCATCATAGGGCATGTCCTTGCCTATAAACCAAAGATTATGCATTGAACAATATTAGCTGGAATATAAAAAATTAATTAGTGACATTTATAAATTTAATATTGAAACATGCTTTTCCAATAGCAGGTAAGGGGCACATGCTCTCAAGATGATTTTCATTCCAATTGTTTCTAATATCTTGGGTTATGTGAAACCTCAAAAATTTTCTACTAGCTAGGTATACAAATAAAAACTAACATTTCAGAAATTACCTTCAATTTAGAAAAAAAAAGAAAAACATGAAATTCAACCCAAACCCTCTGTAACGCTTATCCAAAATTCAAAAAACATGGAATATATTTCACACTCAACATGAATAATCCATTACATTCCAAATAAATGTGTTAGCATTTATATTGTAAAGGCATGTGACCATGTTTTTGGAAATGGATATGGAAAGGCCCATTTGTGAAATCCCAACAGTATCTCTAAAAGCTCTATTAGAAACTACTTCTGTTACTCCTGCTTCCAGTATTTTTGATTTGATATTGCTGGTGGTGTCGCTAGCCAAATTGCTGAACTACACTCCCTTAAGTCATGAAAGTTAAGCAACTTGAGATACCATAGATTCCTGGATGGGTGACTGTTTCTGTTAGGAACCTTAGCTACTAACACATCCAAGCCAAAAAATAAAAGAAGAAAAATGAATGGATCTTAATATTAGGGGCAAAGTTTAGTTCACAGGGACTGCTCTTAAAATTTAGGTTCTTGTTCTTTATTCTATTCTATTATAGTCTCTAAAGAAAAAGGAAAGGATTAAGAAAGTCATACTTCAGTTTTCAACCTGATCTCAACGATTTTTTTTTTTCCTGTCCACACATTTTGATTACAAAACAATGAACAAAAGTAGATTTGAGATACTGGACATAATTTTATATAAATTTACTGATCGCAATAAGGAAAAAAGTTCTATAATTATTCCTAGAAAATTAACGGTAATATATTTCGTCACTTACCAACACTGCCATTTACATAGTTGTCAATAGCATTTGAAATTTCTGCTCGCTTTACTCCAGGCTTAAATTTCATATTAAGCACTCTTGGGTGTTGGCGAAGCCACCTGTAATAATAATAAAATAATAATAATAATAATAATAAAATAATAATAATAAAATAATAAAATAATAATAATAAAAAATAATAATAATATAATAATAATAATATAATAATAACAATAATAATAATAATAATAACAACAATGAAAAAAAGTAAGAAACTAAATGTCTTTTCTATCATCTGACAAAAGGAATACAACAAAATTGAAAAAAAGATCTCAATCGCACATTACAAAGTAATGCGTAAAAAATTAGGCATACAAGAACAAATCAATCTTAAATTTAAGTAACGTTCCAAAACCGAACTTCATTTCTAGCAATAAAATATTTGATAATACATTATTTTAAATTACATTTGGTCAATACGCATTGCTAACATCTGTTCTTTGAATAAGTCAAAAAATAAAACTGATAAAGTGATACACAAGCACACCTACCAGTTGTCAGCTTTTTCTCCAGCCAATCTTGTACAGTGGATTCGTGATTGTTGGCCAGCACCAATGCCAATAACTTGCCCATCACGAGCATAACACACTGAATTACTCTGAGTATACTTTAAGGCGATTGTAGCCACAATCAAATCCCTCAGAGCACCTTCTGGAAGCTGCAAGAACATATTCACAAATGTATCAGTAAATAAAATAATAAATGGCAAGGTCCAGACAAATAAGATGGACAGGAGTACATAACACAAGAAAAATTTAAAACCCTGCACAGCATTACTATTAATTAGATTAACATACAACATACAAAATTAATCAAAATCGTGTATGATACAAAAAGTATTTAACTAACCGTTTTGCGATTGGAAACAATATTGGAAAACACATTTTTGTCTATTGAAGCATTGTTCCGTTGTTGCTCCATAGTAAGGCCAAACAATATTTTTTGCTCAATGGGACGTGGCTCATAATCAGGATCAATCTCAAGAACACAATATGCACCTCCCTTCTTCTTGCGCAGAAGTTCCAAAGCCTCTGGACTATACCCAGGAGCAATAATACCATCAGATACCTGAAATGGAGAACACATTAATGTTTCCAGATTTAAAGGTTAAAATCATTGGTCTCTGACAATATATTACACACATAATCAGATCAGAGAAAAGGGTAGGCACTACGTTTCAAGCAGAAACATTTCCAATTCACGTTTTCATTAGGCAAACACTTTTTTAGCGCAAAGTACAGAAACAAACTTGTAAAATTAACACAAGTTATCTAAAACATTCCAACCTTCATAGGCACTGAAAGAAAAAGTGTGCCCAAACATGTAAGGTGGTGCATTAAGAGCATTTGAAAATGATATAATACGTTCACTGGTTTTGAACTTTTCACAAATCCTTTTGCTCTTACATCATAAAATACCAGAATTGCAGTGTGATGTTGAAAATTTGCAGTCTGAATGGCACCTTAAAACAATATGAAAAATATGGTTTGAATAAATTTAGAAAAGTCTCAAACATAAAACATCCTGTGCTTTACACATTTGAAGTCAGTATTGCTTCTACGTTTTGCTTAAGAAATTGCAGGTGAACTTAAATTATGCAAGATACTAGCAAATATTACCTTAATGAAATAAACATGCGAGCAGTGTTTTAAAGTGGCATGCTGGGGGAAAAAACCCCCCCCCTTTTTTTTCATGGAAGTGTGAGAAAGTGTAAAATCTGATATAAATGACTATTTATTTACGGTGAATGTGAAATTAAAGCATTTGAAATACTCTTCAAGATAGCATTTGCACATTGTACACATAACATAAGATACAGTGTCACAACTTGTCTCTTGTACTTTTGCAAACTTTTAGCTGACTAGGTGATAGAAGTTCCTTCAGACTCAAAACGTGGTCAAATAAAAATATATAAAAACTAATTTACAATTACTGTATAATTATTTCATGCAGTATTTCATTCCCATTTGTCAGTACCTTTAAGAGATTGTTATTTTAAACAAAGGATCTTCTATTACTTAATATTTCAAAGAAAATCATCAGATGAAATTATATTCAACAGAATTTCTCGAAACATTTTTTCTCTTCAAGGTTTCAAATCAGTTTAAAATTTCTAGACAATTGATCACCTCATAGGAATGGTTAGAACCATAGAGAGATATTTTATATTTTAGTATTAAAAGTAGTATTTAAGGCATATTTATTTGAAAAATATCCTTGAACTATAGCATTGTCAGTGAAGAGTGCACAAATCAGCTGAATAATTTCACATCTCATCTGCTCTAATGTTGAAATTTAATAATTTTTATTGCAGTTGAATAGCATTTATTCTTTGATGCATTTGTACCTAAGGGAAAGCAAATGTACTAAAGGACTCCAGTTTTACTCCTACATGGTGTGAAATGTATCTTTCCTTTCAGAAATTCCCATTTGTCAGCAACACACTCTCTTGCTTAGTTTTTTTAAAGTCTGAACTCCAGCAGAAAGTTCTTTGATATGTTACAAAAATGTTGGTATCTGGGGAACTAAAAGTAATTTTTCAGCTACTAGCCAACAGTAAAGGGCTATTTTGTTAGAGAATCACCCTCATTTATTAGTTTCAGGGGTAGAACTCTGGTTTGCCAACCACCAGCTGAGACAATCAGTTAATTTGCGCAAATAACAAAAGTTACAGTTTTGAACCTCTATAAAAAAAGATGGAATAAAAGTTATGTATGATGCATAACAATGAAAAAATTAATGTGGTATTGCATTCATTGTTAACAAGAAAAATTAAGTGGCCTTTCATAATGATGCTGTGAGTTTACAGAAACTCCTTCCATTCTCTTTCCTTCACTATAGCACAAAGGCTGTTTTTCACACAACATAGTTATCTTTACTCTCGACTCTGCAACGCACTCAAAAATATTCCGCACCTGACGCTTGGCGACGGCTAGTACGAGTCAGTATCACGACTGACCCTCGCACAACTGTGTGGCAATTAAAGGGATAAATAAATGTTTGTTGTTGTTGTTGTTGTTTTTTTTGTTTTTTTTACATAAAAATTTTGATGTGCATATTCATAAAATGTTGGTCAATCTTAAAATTTCATTAGTCAAAATAGCTCCCAGCAACAATTACTTAATAAAGCAACTGCTTAGAATGATACAACAGAACTATTACCTCTCGAGAGATTATTCTTGCAGTGACAGCGTCGCAGGGATCAGACAGTGCCACAAAATCTCCAAACGAAGACATACGATCAGCACCACGAGCACGAGCATAGGCAGTGGCAAGCGGCGTCAGTGACTCGGCCAGGTCTTCCACCATGCACACACGTAACTGCTCCGGGGAGAGAGGCACAGCCACAGCAGCACCAGCAGGGCTCACGTGCTTGAAGGACGTGGCAGCAGGAAGCCCAAGAGCAGCCCGGAGCTCCCGCACGAGTTGCCATCCATTCAGAGCATCACAGAGATTAATGAACCCAGGTGATCCGTTTACCACTGCGTACAAAGAATATAAATTATGCACAACAATCTTTAGGCATAAGCAATTGAGAACTTTGTATTTTATTTAAAAATATTTAAAAGAAAAATTATGCTGTTCAATAACAATTCCAAATCAATAACTTAATTAAGGGACTCATCAAATTTGCACTGCAATTAATACCAATTACTAAAGAGACAATTTGTAAAATTTATTAGTCTGACACTTAACTCTGACAAAGTGTTTTTTTGTTGTTGTTTTTTTTCTACGGAAAAATGCTTAAAATTATTACTGATCCCTCACCTTTCAAAGGAAGTTTGGACAAAGTAGTGAAAATTTGAGCTGGCTTCTGATGAGGATTCATGCCATATCGAAGCGTGAGTTGAGACACACCACTGCTGAACTGTTTGCGGAAGTAGTCGGAAATAGCCAAATCATACTCTGACGTATGAGTAAAAGCTTTCAAGGCCAATTGCTGCCTGAAAAGTAAAAGAAGTCAATTACAGTGTTGTTCTCTTTTGTATTGTTTAAACGGTATGTATAAGAATAACATCTCTGCACTGAAAACAAAAACTGAAATGTGTAGCAAATTGACATCAATTTCTGTGTGGGTACTGCGTGACATGCATTCTTTAAACAAAATTTGTAGACAGAAATTAAGAAGCTAAATATCAAGGGTGGCTTCTGCTTAGGTTGCACAGTTGCATGGCAGTACAATCCCCAGATAATAATAAAAAAATAAAATAAAAAGTTGTTATATGTTGGGAATATTCATTTTCCATTTAATGTCATTCAATATTAAGATGTTGCAGCAACATAAATGTATATGAAATCTTTCTGAAATCAAAGAGTTTCCAATAAGCACTCTCTCTGGCATCTGGTGCTCTTCCAGGCAGTGTACCATGTCATGCATTTAAGCTCTATTACTCCAGTTACTCTCTGGTCCTTTGCTTCAACACAAGGAACCTCATTGCTTTGGATGCCTGAAAGTCCATCCACAAAGGGCACAGCATCCAAGGGGACTGCCAATTTTCTGTTTTCATCTGCAAACTTAATTTTATGGATTTTGCATGTTATTGAAAGTTTGCAAGTTCAGTCAATTCCTGAAAGTACTGAATGCATTATTTATGTTTGAGGAATTTATTTTTATTTGATGTTATGTTTGTTGAGTTCAAATGTATATTTGATGAATCCTTTGCTAAAAGTTAGCCACTCTGGAAGAAAGTCCTTTTCTGTCCTTAAAGGTGTGTATAATGATCTTCCTGGCAGCAGAGGCAGTTGGTCTGCAAATATCATTGTGAAGATGAGTATATGTGGAAGATCTTTTATAATTGCTATATTTACGTGGGCAGTGAAATTTTTGAAAAAAAGAAAGTTATTTAATTATCACCACAACTAGTGGCACTAGTAACAACCAAGATCATGAAATATTCTACTTAAAAACCTGTCCAAATAATAGTGTAGCAGAGTGCAGAAGTATGACCACCATATTTTCAAAACCAAGTTAGTTTTTGTTTTTGTATGAATTCCATTACCATTAATTGTCTCCATGCAGAACTAAAACAAAAACTGAAGTGCCTCTTGGTTTTCAAAGCTAGTTTTATTATATATTAGTGTTTTCACTATTGGAAATTACATTTCCTTCATTTGATAGAACTGCAGTTCCCAGTTTGTTGGGGCATGAGCAACTACTCCTACCTTTCCATTTGAAAGTTCTACAATATTAATAATTTAATTTTTATTTTCAACCATTTTATTCATCAAAACATCTTAGTTTACCAAAGAATTGCATAAGCTGTTTATAATTATTTGTATTTTGTGGAAATTTTGTTTTAGTCTTAATGAAACTGGTTGTTGGTGAAACATTGATGATGTGTCTTAACTTAGGGTTGAATCATTTTGTGATACTCCAAAGTGTTTCATTTAATGAATAATTTACAATATTATTAATAGGCTTATTTCTAGCATTACCAATTTTAAGTAATTACTATTAAAGGATTCTTCTCTAAAACATTTATGAACTTTACTCTTATATGCATAACTATATCATTTTCCAGGCAGGCAATTTAATATAAAATTAAAGCAATGGAAAATATCATACAAATCTATAGCTCCACTCAAGACTGGATTGATGGATACATGATTTATACAATTTTACATAGACCCACAATGTATAAATGCATTCTGCCTCGTTCAAAGGAGTCTATTAGAGATGTTCACGAGCCATGATTTAGAGTTTTTCAAGTTGAGCATATCACGATGATCTCCGATATCTGCTTCTTCTCATTTAGTATTACACATTCAAGTCAGATGGTAGAACTTTTTAAGCCACCAATTATTTAACACTAAGTTGAATCTCAAAGCTGCATTGATGTTTATATGGTCAATGATTACCTCTTCATATGTGTGTATGAACTAGCACATTCAGCAATATATACATGTGTAAATGAAACATTTAAGATGTGTCAAATGAAACATTTGAGTAGACCATAAAAAAAAATTAAGTTTAACGATTTTATCTGATTCTAGAATAACCTTCCTTTAAAATATCTACTAAATGCTTTTATCATCTTACCGAGTAGTTAAAGATGTGGTTTTTTCACTAGATGACTCCAATTCTTTCACCACACGGTCATAATCAGCTGGATCACACACCACTGTAACTCTATCATGATTCTTGGCAGCAGCTCTCAGAAGTGTCACACCACCTACACAAACAATATCACAGGCTTTTCTTATAACATGTCTGTGTATATGTTGTGAGAGAATAATAGAACAATACACATTTAATAAGAGAAACCCTTTTTTCTTTTTCTACTTAGTGCTTTGTAAATTGTAATTGTTTCTCAAAGAATTTTCTGGAGGTTGATCATATAAATATTAATACATTTTGTCTAATAAGCAATAATTAAGTCTAATAATGTCTAATAATCAAGTTAAAATAATAATACATTCAATAAACAGAAAATAAATAAATAATTCTAGGGCTAAGTGTAAATTTTGCAAGTCTGGGGGAGGTTAAGGAAAATATTGCTCAATGTAATAGAATCTAAATCACCAGCAAGATTTCATGTTCATTACATAAGCAAAAACTGATTAGATGTTTATCATCAAAACCTTACTAAACAATGTTGGCTGCAACTGAAGCACAAACCAAAATCAAAGACAAATGAAGACATTTCAGAATCTCATCATTTTTGGCCTGAAAACTTGGGCTTAATTTTAAACAAAGAAAAATATAAGCTTAAAAGAGATAGTGAGAAAGTAAACTACTCAGAATATGGCACATCTCTGACATCTGACCTGCCCAGGATGAAGTTTTGCTACAGTTATTTTAAAGATAAAGGAATCGGTAAATTTTATTTAAACTAATTTCTTGTGCACAACAGGTTGCATTTAATATTTCTTCTGAAGAATGGACCTAAAAAATCCAGAGACTGATTGGACCAAAATTTAGAGCTATCTCTAAAAAATTGCTCATTATAACAAGAATTTATTTTAATTCTAACTAAATCTTTTCTTTTTCTCAGCATTAACATTACTTTCTAGCTGAAACCCTGTGAAAACATCACACAAAAGGAAGAGCTGTGAAAAAGTCACAACAGAAAGTACATATCCACTATCCTACTAAAACCCAAAAAATGTTTGTCATTCAGAATTTACTCTCCAAATGTGATGAAATGAGAGAGGTAACAAATTCTGGAACAATATGATGTAACAAAATGTAATTGAAATGTTTTATATTTACTAAGATCAGTAAACGTATGATGTGGTGGACTATTGAAGGATAACCTGCTATCAACCTTAATTTAAAAATGTAATGCATTTCATAATTATAATAATTGAAATTTTGTTTGTAAAGGAATGCCCATGTAACAATTGCTGGACAATGCTTTTATAAACACATTCTAATCTTTGCATTAAAAATAGTCGATCTTTGAACTTTAAAATCTACATATTTCCCAACTGCAATCTCTTGATGCAAGAATGTCCTTGCATCATTTATAACCTCACACTCACAAGCTTGTTTGCGCTTATGAAATATCAACTACTTTTGATAGATTGTAACTCGCAAAACAAAACAATCCACTGTAATTGGTCTTCAAAATTTCGCAATGAAAAAATAATGGCAGATAAGCATTTATTCTATTACCTTAACTAGATTATTAATTTTTTTTGTTTACACTTCAAAACCAGTTAATAAGAGCAAGCAATGACATCCATGGCCCACTACCCATCATTCAAAACAAAAATAAGAAAATTTGATTGAGAAGAAAACTCAAATTTCATTCTAAATGAAAACCTTAGCATTTTAAATAATTAGTTGTGTACAGAGGTCTGATTATTCCTAAATGCATTTTAAATAACCATGAAACATTTGTAAGCCTTTTAATTCCAGTGTGGAGGAACCAGTCACACTGCTTTAAATTTGCCACTGTGTCTTATCTTCAACACTCTACATTTATACTGTTTCAGCTTTCCTCAATACTCACCAATATCAATGTTTTCAACAGCATCTGCTACAGTCACATCAGGTTTTGCAACAGTATTCACAAAAGGATAAAGATTGCATACAACTATGCTTATCATGTTGTAACTCATCTTCTTCAAGTCATTCTGGTCACTCTCCGTTACTCTTGCCAGGATACCTGAAATAATCACACAAGGCCAACATATTTTTAGTAGTTTTCAACCTTTGTTTTTTTCTAGGCAAGCACAAATTTCAGATTGAGTAGAGTTTGAAAGTTTAATTCCAATCTGATTTAAGATTATAAAAAGGCTAACTATCCTTTGATGATGTTATGAAAAATTTTTACCAAACACAAACTAAGAAGTATATTATTGCTTCAATAGAAAACTAACTTTAACAGTTAATTTGAACAATTTTGAACCGTTTCTTTGCAATTTTTATGGCTGCTTATTTATGAGAACAAAAATTCTAATTTTTCCTTGATTTCAAGGTTTGTTAAATTCCCAAAGAATTAATTGACACTTCCTGGAATTCCAATCCACACCTTAAAGAAAAGAATAACAAGAAAAAAATTGTGAATGTTTAATTTATAAAAAAAAAAATTCAATTATTCAGAAACAACAATATTGATAGTTTGAATATACTACGACAAAGCACACATACTTTTTGAAGGCTTCAGTTTTAGAATTATTGAATATCACATTCCTTACATCCCAAACAAATCTTTCTTAACTTAAAAATGAAATTATCATAACAATAAAACTTAGGGTATATAAAATAAATTTCTCTTAATTTTATTTTCAACATTAAACTATAATATTAATTTTACCAACCTGGAAAGCATTCTAAATCTATAAATTTAGAGCAAGTACATAACAATGTCTGAATTTAACAGATAATAACCTTCATAGTTCAGTTTCGGTCAAAGATCAATCTTTTTCGTTGTAGATTTTCGAAACTTTACAAAAGGCAAGATCGGCCGTAATCTTACTCAATAATTCCTCAAAACTTATACGTTCCTACAACCTGTTCTGTTCAGATGCGAGCATGTTGGCGCAGTGCACGAATCAAACCAAAAGCAACTCACCCGCGTGCACAGCCGGGTGAAGAGTTTTCACGCGACCGCCCAGCATTTCCGGAGCGCCGGTGATTTCGGACACATCCTTCACTGACAGTTTGGCATCCCGAAGAGCCTTCGCGGTTCCTCCGGACGCGACAAGCGTAAGCCCTAACTTCTGCAGCTTCTCGGCCAAAGCCACCAACCCTGTCTTGTCAGACACGCTCAGCAGAGCTGAAAACATAATGCATACCGGTGTTAGAATACATATTAAAGGGACAGATAATGGTTTACTTGTATTTTATGTTTCCGTCTCACCTAGAGTTCCTGTAGATGCCATCGCAATGGGGTGAGATTGTTAAACCTGTACAAAATTTTTGTAATGAGAATGAATGTGCAAACTAAGTTTATTTTCATTCACTTAAAAAACAAGAAAGACGAAACACTTTCTTCCACATTCAATGATGAACGATCGCACAGTTACCTTTCCTGGAGTTAACAAGACCGATTCCGTGGTGAACTGGTGCTGAGTGCCGGCCGGCGAAATACCTCCTCCTCACTGAGCCTCTGCGCAACAAGTGGCAGAGCGTAGCGCGCAAGGCGGGATTCCAAGCGCTCCGCTTGAACAGTTGCCAACCCTACCAACGCGCCCACTTACGCGAGTCGACGCTGCTCTATGACCGCCTCTATCGTGGATCGTGTGGTAACTGTCACGTCTGACGTCATTAATAGTTCAATAAGGGTCGACAAAGAGATAAGAAATTACGCTTGCAGTCCCCGAACGTGCATTGAATACCCGGTTGCCACACGACGACCCCCCCCCCTATGGTTACGTAGATTGACATCCCGAGGGCACGCAAGGTCAGCTATATGTTTGAAGGTCAGCGGAAGATAATTGATCCCGGCCGTAACCAGCTGCTGTCCTTATACGGTCGGAAAGACACCGAGACAGGCCCGGTACTTGAACTTAGCTGTCTTCTTCCAATTTCCTGATGAAGATGAGTTATTTAACAGTACATCCAGTGTGTGCCCTACACACATCCACACGAAGCTTTTAGATTTTTGGTACATTTCAGGGTTCATTTTACTTTCTCGCTACGGAGTAGAGTTGTGGAACGCGTGAAAAGACGGCGAATTTTCGGCAAAAAAATTCTTAGTACAGGGCCCTGGTAATAAAAAAAATTGACGAATCCAGTTGCTAAATTTAGTAAATATAAAATCTAACACGCTGTGTAATCAGAATCCATGTTATGTGAGTCCTTGATATCGAAAAGGCGATTGACGGCAAAATGTCTGTCTGTCCGCCTGTCGATATTTTAATTTTGGGGAGTACTTTACATAAAGTCCCAGGGACATTTTCAACAACAAAAAAGAAAAGAAAAGAAGTCTCCGTAATTTGATTTAAGTTTGGTGTTGGATAGTGTGAAGGACGTTTAAGAGAATGAGGCAGGTCTCATTTTCGTTGAAGACTGATTTTTCGAAAATTGCAAAAATTTCGACGTCTTTCTATAATGATAATTATGAAGAAAGAGATTTTCACTTAATGAAATATGTTCCTTACAAATAGATTTTGAAATAAGGTAAGATTTAATTTTTCGAAAATTTGAGTCCTTTCCCGTAATTTTGCGAGAAAGTACGTGCTGTTTTAGCACCACAAGTTTTTTTAATACTATAGTTCCAATATTTGTATAATAAACAAATTTGTTTATCCTTGTAAATTTTACATCAAGGTGAAAGAAAGGTTGTTTCACATTGGAGAATGGAAAAACGTTTAGATTTCATAATCCAGCCTCAACGGTACTGTGACTATTGTGCCTTTCGTTAAGACTGAACAAATAACACAGGCTTGCGATAAAATACAAGGGAATTTATAGCTGAACTATGTGCATTTTTTGGTGCTTATTTAAAAAAAATGAAAAATTTCGGTCACATCGCGTTTCCTTGAAAATTCAATTTTGCTTCGATTTTTATGAACATTTACCATAATATTTTCGGACCTTTCGAAAGAGGTAGCTGAATTGTTGGGCTACAGATAGAAAAAAAATATATTGGCGAAAGGAACATTTTTGTACAGGAATCGAGAAAATAATGTATTAAATACTTTGAGGAAGAGGAGAGCCTGGTTTATTATTCTGATTCTCCCGGAATTATGAGCAAATTTAATATCACCAACGATAAAGATGAAAGGAGGCTGTTTATAGATTCGTCGAAAAGGAGCCTGAAAGCTGTCGTACTTCATCACGGAAGCCAGTATGTATGTGTACTAGTTGGACATTTGGTGCAGTTAAAATAACGCTATGAAAAGCTGGTTATCTTCCTCAACAAAATAAAATATGCTGACCACAGTTGGACCATTTGCTGTGATTTGAAAGTTATCTCAAAGTTTCTCGGTCAATAAGCCGGCTATACAAAGTCCCCATGTTTTATTTTTGAGTGGGACAGTCATGCTAAGACTCGACATGGTGTAAAAAATGAAAGGCCAAAAAGTCAAAATCTTGAACCAGGCATCAAGAATGTGATTTGGAACAGCTTAGATGAGTCAAAAAAGGTATTGTAATCCCCTCTGCATATAAAATGAAGTAGTTAGTCAAGGCTATTCCAAAAGATGGCAATTAATTCAAACACTTGTGCAAAAAGTTTCCAGATTGATCCGAAGCCAAGATGAATGAGGGAATCTTTGTTGGTCCAGATTTCCGCAAGCTTATGAAGGATAGAGAATTTGAAACTAGCATGATAACAAGGGCTCGGATTCTGATGACATGTCGTCTTTTCATTGGTGCACTGTAGAAGGTGCAAGGGAACGTTTTGTTTTTGTCTCGACTGGAGGCGACTCGTGCGATCTGGCAAGTTGTTTTTATCCATTTAAACCATTAAAAAACTAAATTGCTGAAAAATAAATTTGCCTACACAAGAATCGATTATATTTTATATAGATTTACATGGATAAAATCACTTTTACTATATAAATCAAAATTGTTCGAAATAATTCCTTTTCAAATAGGGTGTTCTCAAACATATCGATATGTATTTTACAAAAAATCCTGACGTGATGGAAAAAAATGGAGGTCACATTCGGCATCCGCACTAGTACTAGTGAGAAATGATTGCAAAATTAATTTTTCGGGCGGCTTCCTACAACTCCAAAATTAAAGACAGAGATTTTTCCTTCAAATAAAATTTGTTCTCCATAGTGAGTTCCTTCATTAAGGTTGTGTTTGTGGGCAAACAAAATATGTTACCACACCTGGACTTTTCCGGCGAATACCTGGGCTTTTCCGGGGTTATCCCGATAACGTTTTAGCGCCTTACTTTTTTGTGAAGGTGGACAAAACAACGCAAATGATGGACAAACGATGGTTTCGTCAAAAATACCTGGAGTTTTCCCGGCCAGCGTGAAGTTGGCCCGAACATTTCTTTCGCATCTATCTTTTTTTTTAGTATGTGTGAAGGCAAACGAAAATTTTCGTTGGGCAAACTATGTACGAAGTTTGGGTAAAATCTCAGATTTGTTCCGGCCAATTTCACGTAGCTGAAATGCACAGGGCGGAGCGGGTGGGGCGAGCGTAGAGTGGGAAGCGAGCAAGAGAAGAGGGGTAGGTGAATAAATACCTAGATAAATACCAAGTAGTCAGTTAGTACATTATTAATAACGATTACCGTATTTCATTTAAATAATTTGAAAATTGTAACATGGCATGGGATTGTCAGCTATAGTTGACCACGATTTGCTAACACTATTTTAAATTTTACCAAAGATTCCACGAGTAATTTTCGACAAAGAAATAAGTGGACAATGCAGACCGTAATTTAGGCAAATTAGGCTTCTGCCTTGGATGTAATGTTCAACCCTTGCCAATTATTAATTTTTGTTGTAATAAAATAAATTTTCGGACGCATTTCCACCATTGATTCTTAATTATGACAGTATATGTAAACTAGTGGTGCTAAAACAGCACTCGCCATTTCTCGCCCGTAATTTCACGCAAAAATTACGGTAAAGTACTCAGATTTTCGAAAAATTGTACATGAACTTATTTCAAAATCTATGTTTAAGGAACAGATTTTATTAAGCAAAAATTTCTCTATCTTCATAATTGCAGTTGTAGGAAGACGAGGAAAAAGTTTTAAACGTTTGCAATTTTCGAAAAATCAGAGTTTTAACGGAAATGAGACCTGCACCATTCTTTTAAATGTCCTTTACACTATCCAGGTGCGGATCCAAGGGGGGGGGGTGAGAGAAATTTCCTCCCCCCCCCCAAAAAAATTTAATAACCATTAATTTTAACTTGTTACGAAACTTTCACTTGTACACAAACTTTCAAAAATATTTTCGGATAATCATTAACACGAATTAATAAGTATCGCAATATGAGCTGAGTTTAGCCTCTGTCATTCTACACAATCGGTAAAATGACACATTTGACCACATTATTTTAATTAAAAAATATCGCAATTTATCGATCACATGCGCCTCACTTTCGGACATTTATATAGTATCCCTAGGATAGGGAAGCTATTCTCAAATATGGCTCCATTTTTTTAAATTTCTTGTAAGAATAGAGTAAAATACTCTAATAAAAGTGGCGCGGGTATGATTTTCACTGTTAAATCTCAATTTTGGATTATTACAAAAGTTTGATTTTTTTTCGACAACTTACTATAACTACAAAATTGAAGATAGAGATTTTTCCTTGATATGTTCTCTGTAATCAGTTCTTTCTGAACGTTTTTTTAACATTTTATTAGTTTTAGCGCAATATTGTGTGCAATATGTCCTATTTGGAATTCACAGCTGCTCCTAAACGCCATTTTCTTAAAAAACGGCACCAAGTTTTTCAAAGAAAATTTGCCATTTAGTACGAGTGTTACTGTTCTTTAATATTCTTAAAATAATATTTCTGTTCTACTATTAGGAGACGGCTCCACATTTTTTTCAAACTTTTTTTACGGATAGTGCTGATTGCATTGTTCATGATTATTTAAAAGTCTTTTGCAGTATTCTTTTGTTTTATCAAAAACTACACTAATTAATTTTTTTAGATAATTTGTAACTTCTTTAATATGCTCATTTCCAGCAACCTGTATATATTATTGCATTAGTGAGTGAAAACGCTTCAAATGACTTTGACTGAAGTTTTTCGGACACTCAAAAGATTTCTATGAAAAGAGCTTCAAATTTTGCATTTACAGTAACGCTTAAACGACATTTTCGTAAAAACAGCTCCAAATTTTTCAACGAAAATGTCCATGTAGGACGAGGTTTTACTCTTCTATATTATTCTTAAAGTAATTTTTCTTTTCTGCCATTAGAAAACAGAAAAAATTGAGCAAATGTGAAACGATGTTCGGGCGGTGAAAGATGGCAGCTGGAAAGAGGATGGGGCACGATCCAAACCCAGTCCCGGCCAAACAAATTAGGAAACTAACTAGTACGAGAAAGTCTGTTCTATTCTGTAGCACCACTAGTTTAATTTAAAATGATGAAGTATTCATTAAAATATATTGAAATATTAATATTTCAATTTTGTTCAAAGCATTTTATTATAAATAATTAACATTTATAATTTGTCATATTTTTAATATAAATATATATAAATATATATATATATTATATATATATAATATCGTCTCTGGGCCGCTCTTGTACTATCCAACAACAAAATTTAATCAAAAACGATGGAGCCATTTTGAAAATGTCCCAGGGGCTTCAAATAACGTAACCCCTAAAATTAAAATATCGGTTTCAAATTCAAGCCAGACATCAGCCAGATTGACTAGGGAATGTAAATTTTGGAGAAAATCGGCTGAACGG